GGAAGTGGAGGTTGCAGTGAGCCGAGATCGTGCTGTTGCACTCCAGCCTGGGTGACAGAGTGAGACTCCATCTCAAAAAAAAAAAAAAAAAAAAAATCATGTTAATTATTCCATGATTTTCTTGATAATTTTGCCACATATGAATGCATTGCAATCAACTTTGTTTTTTAGATTGATTAGTTGGCTATACTTCATATTCATTGCTACAGTCACATTCAATTATATGAATGTTCAAACAATGTTTTCATTCTCCTGGCATTGGACATTTGGGTTGCTTCTAGTTTCTTCCTTTTATGAATAATTCTTCCAAGAACAGCTTTGTACATCTACTGATGCACATGTTGCTGAGCCATATGGTATGTGTATTTTCAGCTTTACTAGGTAATCCAAATTGTTTTCCAGAGTAATATATGAAAGTTGCCTTTACTCCATCTTCACCAAAAGTCTGATAAACTTTTTAATGTTTTTCAGTTGTACAGTGTAAAATGGTTTCTAATTATGTGGTACACATACACCATGGAATGCTATGCAGCCATAAAAAGGAACGAGATCATGTCCTTTGCAAGAACATAGACGAAGCTAGAAGCCATTATCCTCAGCAAACTAACACAGGAACACAAAATCAAACACCACATGTTCTCACTTATAAATGGGAACTGAACAATGAGAACACGTGGGCACAGGGAGGGGAACAACACACACTAGAGTCTTGGAGTGGAGGGGGAGAGCATCAGGATAGCTAATGCATCCGGGGCTTAATACCTAGGTGATGGATAATAATTTTAGGCAGTAACAAGCAGATCTTTAGAAGTACTGCTGTACTTTATGTCATTTTATAATATATATTTTAAGGAATTATAAACAAACTGGATTACCCAGGGCTATGAGAGGAGAGATTCAGTCTAAAAGTCAGTTAAAGAAACACAAGCCTAAGAGACATGACAGCTGTGTACAAATATTTGAAGGCTTATTACAAAGAAGAAGGAGTAAACAGAACTGAAATGAAAGGGTAAAAATTGCAGAGAGGTTTTCAGCTCAGCATAAGGAAGGATTTGAGCTATCCAGCAAAGGAAGAGGATGCCCCCATGAGGTAGTGGCTCCTCATCACTATTCCATTCAAGCAGCAGTTGAACGTCCACCTGTGAGTAATTTAGATCCATAGGTTACAGGTTGAACTAGTTAACTTCTAAGATTTTTTTCCAAAACTATAATTCTGAGATTGTCTCCGGTATTTTTTTTTGTGTTTACAATTAAGAATACTACAGATTTTAAAAAATATAATGCTTTATTGAAGATTAGTTGCTTTATTTTGAGCTGTGGTGGTGAAACTATCATATCTAGAATTTTCATATGAAACTAGGAATTTGGCCAGAGATACCAGTGCAAGCTACATTATTTTTGCAAAAATAGCAAGATTCTCAGCTATTGTATTAATTGTTAGATAATATTTAAGCACATATATATGAACAGAAAAATACATAAACTGTTTCAGGCATATGCTGTGTCTTTAACTGCGATCAATAATTTACAATCCACAAAACTACAAAGAACAATAAAGCACAAAGATAAATAATTCAATCAAGAAAGTACAAAAGTGACTTCAGAAGACTGATGAGCAGACTGAGGGATGAGATAAAACCTTGACACAGCAGTTACATGAACAAGGGAATTTTTATGCAAGGTGTTTAAAACTTTTTAGATAAAGATGAGGACTTCTCAAGATTTAGAGGAAGAAAATTCCAAGAATAGAAAACAACATAGAGACTATATTGCTGCCGAAATAATCTCAGTGGAAACTATAATATTTTGCATATGTAGCATTTAGCATATTGATACAGGTGGAAATAAGCATAATACAGTGCTTTTTAAACTGTGGGATATGACTCGTTCGTCAATTGTGAAATCAACGACTGGTAACCAGTATTTTTTTAATGAAGTCTAATTTTAGAATTAGAATATTCTAGAATGGAAACTACCAGAAAGTATCATATGTTGTGAGGATAAATATATTTTATAAAACTATGTATGTATCCAAGGTCACAATGCAAAATACATTTATTTCTGTGAGACACAGTCAAATCAGAATGAAAATTACTAGCATATGTGTAGGAGCTAGAAGTTTAGATTTTAGAACCCAACTAATTGGAGCTGAATCCCAGCTTTGCCCCTTACTGGCTCTATGGCCTTGGGCAAGTTATTTATCTTCCCCCCTCCTTCATTTATTTTGTTGTTGTTGTTTCTTTTTTAACTTTTAGGTTCAGGAGTACATGTGCACTTTGTTATGTAGGTAAATTGCATGTCACTAGGTTTTGGTGTACAGATTATTTTGTCACCTAGGAAGTAAGCATAGTACCCAAGGGTGGTTTTCCAGTCCTCGCTCTCCTCCCGCCCTGCACTCTGAAGTAGGCCCCAGTGTCTGTTGTTCCCTTCTTTATGACCATGTGTACTCAAAGTTTAGCTCCCACTTATAAGTGAGAACATGCAGTATTTGATTTCCTTATGATCAAGACCATCGTGGCCAACATGGTGAAACCCCATCTCTACTAAAAATACAAAAATTAGTTTGGCGTGGTGGCATGCACCTGTAGTCTCAGCTACTCGGGAGGCTGAGGCAGGAGAATCACTTGAACCCGGGAGGCAGAGGTTGCAGTGAGCCAAGATTGCACCACTGCACTCCAGCCTGGGC